CAATCAATTTCGTTCTCATGCAGAAGCAATTCAGTTCAAGATCCATGAACTTCGGAGACCATCCTCAGGTATAGCATATGCCTCTGGGAATAGGGTCATTTCAGATAACGCAGCTTTGGGGCTTCTTTGGCACTTGCTCAAGATCAGCACTAGCTTAGATGCAGTTTACGGGGCTTGGACGGCAGCACTTGAAAGCCTAAGAAGTCACCCAGATGGCTCAGCTGCTCGCATGTCAACCCTACAGACCTTTGAGTTCAGAATTCTATAAGGACAATTTATTACTGTGCGTTTTTGATGTGCAGCAACTGAAATGAAGCAAGACCAAACACATCAGATTGTATGTGCCTGAGAAGGGCTGTAAATGTCTTCATCTCTCCCGAGGTTCAGCCTGCCTTGCCCGCTGGCAGCAGCACCCAGCCCCCATGGTTCTCAGCAAGCCTTGCTGGGCGTTCAGCGTGTCCCCTCTAGGCACCCTTGACTTTTTCACACACCTTTGCCATATGTGGCAAGGTGTGATTGCACCTCACAAGTTGAGACATAAACTACTTGTCTTTGGAAAGGCATCTGCACCACTCTCCCATGCCATCAGGAAAAGAGGTTGAGGGGGATTTATTTCCTTTCCTCGTCATGGTCCTGGAGGAGGCATTAGCACCCTGTTTACACTGGGCCATAAGACAGCATCCTGCAGCCCCACTCCCACTGCTCCTGTATGGCATGTCCCAGCTGAAGCCCATCTGCAAGATGCCTCCAGAAACTGGGGATGGAACCAACTTTGGACCCAGTACCCTTCCTGTGAGCCTTCAGTGGCTGCTTAGTGCTGTGTAGGGTGTCCATGCCTGGCTGTAGGACACGCATGGCTTGGGGGAAGTCACTGTAGCAGGTCATGCTGCTCTGCTTATATTCAGTATCTGAGCAAGGGTGAGTGGAGCCTGCTAACCCAAATGCTGAGCTTCAGGCTGTGCTCAGGTAGTGAGAGCAGCCACATTCACAGTCCCTCCACAGACCTGAGACGGAAGCGTTTGCTCCACCGGGATCCTCATGCGACTCCTCCTAAAGCTAGGCTTAGAAAAACAATATATTTGCCCAGGCTGAAATCATAACTCCTGCACAGAAGGGATGCTGAGACTGGCCATGGTGGGAAGTGAGCACAAAGATTCCCTGGAATACGTGCTGCCACCCTTTCCTTGAATTTTATACAATTCTGGTCACTCACCCCATCTTGGTGACACGAATAAGATGAGCAGTCTCCAAAAACAGCCCTCAGATCACTCCTCCTCTGGAGGACATTTTGGCAGGCAGATGTTGTCAGGAATTGCAGCACATGAGATGGTCCTGCTAAGAACGGCAGGAATTCCGTATGGAAAAGGCTACAACAGACCTGTTTGCGAAAACAAACAACAACAACAACAAGATGAGAGATTGAGGTATAGATTAAATATCATGAAAACTGTCAAAAATACATGCTATTTTCAACTGCCTTCATTTTCCGTCTTGGCTTTAAGGATTCGCAATGATTAAGGCACTAATTAACAACTAACTAGGCTCAAGCCTCAAGGGTCATGTAGGAGTTGCTTACGGGATAAAAACAAAAATAGGATAAATACAATTTTTGAAATAGTTTTTAACATAGGCCAAAAAAAATTCATCTCCTCATTTGTTCTGCAGAAGAAATGAGCAAACCTACTTGAAATTTTCTATAAGCAAAAAACAATTGGGTAAGAAAGATAGAAAAACACATTTCAGTTGTAATTTGGATTAAAGGTTTATGAAGCTAATAAAGTTAATACTGTTTACATATGACAACTCCTATCACAACTAAGTGCTCAAACACTAATCTGCACTATTCAAGCAGATAACTCAGAATTTTGCTGACCTAGCTGTATTGGTTTGAACTGTGAAAATGTTCATCTATCAATACAAATTAATAAATTAATTATTATTAATAAAACCTGTTTTGTAGCTAGAACCATGTTGACAGACAGATTTGTTTGATTTTGCCTTTTGGGCATGAGGTACCACTGTGTTGGCAGAAAGGCTCTACACTAAAGGACACTGCTCAAGAAGGTCCTCAGCCCAGACAAGGCTAAAGAGGCAGAAAGATTTACCTGCCAGCTCATAAAAATGGAATGAGACTGGAGTATTCATCTGCCTCTGACATGGGCCACAAATGTTACAGCCATTTATAAATATTATCAATAACTTTTGGAACACAAAAGATTTGAAGAGAGTTGCATCATCCCTCATTGCCAGATGCTCCTAATCAAACTGGATCCTCTCCCCTTTGTATCAAGTTCTTATTTTTCATACACTGATTTCTATTTTTTTTTTATTGTTAAATGAGCTACATTTTCTTTACTTCATGACCATTTCTCAGCATTGCAAAGCACCTGAAAGAGCAGGCCAATTTCCAATTAGGAGAAGCATAACTATACAGACCTCGGTTTGTGACAAACAAGTATGAATTTTAGTGTAGAAAAATACCAGAATAACAATGATACAAAAAACTCAGTACTGTTTGGAATAGAAAATAGGAATGAGAGCACCCTTTCATGTTGCACTGGCAAAGACACTCGCCCAAACTAATTCTTACTGAAGGTTTTCACACTAAATAAAGTGCTACAGAGAAAAAGACTGAAAGGGCTGAAGATTTGGAAGTCCTTTTAAAAGCAGAGTTAAATAGACCAGTTTCCTTCTGAGTGATAACCCTCTTCTGGTGCCAGCTAGTTTCTTGCTTTGCCTACAGTGCTTCCTTTTGCCTACCAGAGCTACTATCGCATTTTGGAGATAAAATCTGACTACTGACAGCAGAAATAATGAGATCCAGAAGAGCAGTTTTCGTTTGTGGTCCTAGGCCTCAGTGAGTCCATAGATGACTTCAAAAATAGTGGAAAGATGACTAAGAAATACAAGTTCATGAGACTGTTTCACAATGTATATGAATAAAATTTGCTGAAGGACCTGTATCTTCACTGGAAATACTTTGACAGTCTACATCTGAACATCTGAAAAAAGGTTTAAAGCGATATAAATCCTGCATGCCTCACTGCATGTTCCCAGGTCTCCCTTCTTCTTCACTCTCTTCTAAGCCCTATATTCACACATGCTTGAGAAATGGGTATCAACAGAACAGACACCACGTAAACCTTTCACATACCTACTTTTGCAAGACTATTTTTACAGTTGTAGAAAAACTGAATCCTTGTTTTGCACCACCCTCTCCACTAGCAACAAAATCTGCACCAATTCAATACCATACAGCACCATGCAGATATACCTGAGCTATAGATGGACTAGAAAGCAGGAGAGCCCCATCAGCTCTATGCGCTTAAACCACTGAGCTTACGTATCCTCTTCTGCCAAGCCTTGCCTGGCAGCAGTGGCAAGAGCCATGTTTAAATATAAGGCAGTCATGACAAAATTAACTATGCGACTCCCAACAAAGAAGCCTAAGAAAAAACTAGCAAAACTTCAGACACTGATCTCCCTTACAAACATGAATCACATTAACTGGCAACAAATGGCAGCAGAGCATTTGCTGCTTCTGCTGGTAGCCCTGACTCTTAGTTTGAATTTTAAATCTTGCTGGTAACAAGGCCCATCTATCTCAAAGTGCGAGTGGTTTTTCTGGCACCTGCTCTTCACTAGCTGCACCTGCTCATGCTGCTTGGGCACCGCTCCTGTTTCTGCCAGCTGCATTAGCACAGCTCCTTCCTCAGCCTAAATACATGACTCTGAACACGAGCAGCTCCGCTAACAGCCTCCACTAGCTGAGAGGGTGTGTGTGACATGAGAGCGAGCCCTGATGATCACGGAAAGCTCTCAAGCACCTTGCTTTCCACATGCCTGTCAAAACTCTGCTCTTCCAAACTTGTTGTGCGTGTTCCTCTTTTGCAAGTGCCAATCATCATTTTGCAAGACTGAAAAATTGTGCTTCTAGCCTTAACTGTGCTTTTAGCCACCATTAGACAGACGACTGAAAAATTGTGCTTCTAGCCTTAACAGACATGCACCACTATAAATGCATCTTTCTCCACTCCTGATAGAGCTCCCTCTTTAATAGAAATGCTTCTCAGATAGTCTACAACAATATAGCCAAAACAAACATTTTCTGCCCAGCTCCCTGGTCCTTAACCATTTATGTCCCCTTTGATTCACCTGCATTGAGGCTCCCTGCCAGCCTGAGTCACTGGCCATGCACTCGAGCTGCAGTGATGCAGCTCAGTCCCCTTCCTTGTTCATACTACCATCCCCACATAGCTCTGGACTGCGTAGACGAAGCAGCTGTTCCCTCCACAACTTTATTGCCCTGTATAAAACAGACCAGAGGGCTCTAGAAACACACACAGACACCAGCTCTCAGAAACATATTTCTATATCCTGCTCAAGAACTACGAATACCTCCCACTTATTTTCAAGGCCTCAATGTTATGTTCCTTCTCCTCTAGTAAGATTTGTGTTGAGGCTCCAGTAAGACCAGACACTATAATTATTTTCTATCTTTATTTCATTTACAATACAAAGAAAAACATACAGAGATTTTCTAAACATGAAGTGAAGACAGTATTTTTCAGTGCCTATTTCTTTGACACATGACATGACAACGATAGATTCGCACTGAATTTGTGCTAGAAATACGGAACATAAAAGCTGCACAGAAGATCACCTCATTAGCAAACCTCTGGAAATGCCTCTCCCCAAATCTGTGATACGTTGCAGCCTAGCGAAGAACTGCACAGATCTTATATGGATGTGGTTTCATTGTGGCCCCGAAGACAAACTGTGTGTTGACTTCCTTAACTCCTTCTGGCAGGGTGAGCTTGAATGTTTGCAACAGATTGCAGAAGATGATGAAAAGCTCCATCCTGGCCAGCACCTCTCCCAGACACACACGGTGGCCTGCAGAGAGAGAAAGGCAAGAGCAGTCAGTCCCCACAGAGGGCTATAATGAACGCTTGTTCCTCACCTTTTCCAAAGAGCTTCAGGCAGCCTTGTCAGGAAACAAAGTCTTTGCCGGCTTGACATGTTCTCTCAGATTGAGCTGACCAAACAATTACTATGCAAGAATGTAATTATTCTTTGCAGAATCTAGACAGAATTACATAGAAAGATTCCAGAGATGCTTCTCAATAGTTTCCTACTTTACCTTGTGATACTATGAACTCACTTACAGTCTCTTGATGTTAAATAAGAGTAATAAGGAAGCATCTTTAGATTTCTTCCCTGCTTTCACTTTACGCAAGTACAACATAACTTTTCTTCACTAACGGTTTTGAAAAGTCGGGATAGAGAGGACAATTTACAGTTCACTGGATAACTTTCTACATGTTGTTTTCAGAGAAAACAAGAAAAAAATGTTTCCCAATTTATCAACTAACTTTGTGTCCAGGATATAACTTCTGGTTTGAGAAAAACAATGACTTTAAAGCTTAGTGGTTAGGCCATGCAGCTGGGATGTGAGAAATCAATGTTCAAATTCCTGTTCCGCCCAGCATAGACCAGCAACCTAAATCAGACACTTCCACATCCCAGCTGAGAGCTCTGACAACCAGGCTATTCATAACCCTGGCGTGATCCCCAAGAGCTTTTGTTGAAGCTGCGTCACGCGTGCACACAGTGAAAGAGTGACTATAGAAGCATCCCAGAAATGACATACCTATCTGTGATGTATTTCATCCAGGCTCAAATTCCTGCACCAGTGACTACTGAAATTACTTATACAAAGTAAATCAGCTCCAGCAGAGCATCCTGCCACAGAACAGCCACTGCAGCATAGCTTGGCATATGCTAAGGACTCAGCTCCCCAAATTACTAGCAATTCTGAAGCCTTAGTCCTTTTACTTCTCTGCTTTTTCACAAAAATCTACACTAAAGCAATTATACAATTACTAAATAACTTCTATTCTAATCAAAATATTTTCATGGACTGGGAAAGCCACATGCTCCTAATTTTGGATTACGCTACATTCGGTCTTTTCTGCAATGAAAATAATACTGTGTTACACAATGTCTAACCCCCACAGATGGCTTTATCTGTCAAAGAACTTACCTGCTGAAAAGGCTAAAAAGGCTTCTCTGGCCACAAAATTTCCATTCTTGTCCAAGAAGTGACTGGGGTTAAACTCATGAGGGGTTTCCCAGTATTTAGGGTCGAAAAGAGCTGAGTCTAGGTTTGGCACAATGACTGTACCCTGCAAGGAAGATTTTGGTGATTTAGTTCTGTCTCTTAGGGCTATGTAGGACTTTTGCAGAACACAGGTTTAATTGTTGTGAAATTGCACTTTTGGCAAGCACTTTCACTCACTTTGTATGAGAAACAGTCATGACCAGAGGACATGGGAGGGGAAAAGTACTATGTGTCAGTGCTGTCACCCAGACCTATGTCAGTCCTTAACTGGAGGGAAAAGGAGATGAGGGAAAACACAACTACAAGAAACTTTATTTTGCTAATGCCAAACGCTAGATTCTGGGTGCAGAGATTGCTGCCACCTTTGCCAGTCCTGAGACAGTGAAGGAGGACTGTTAAACTAGGGACGAGACGGGAGTGATACATTTAAATGGTTTATCTCAGTGTCCTAAGAAGTGGGATAGCATCACCATAAACTGTCTCTACCTCTGTGGAGGCACCCAGCCTATATGTGCCTCTTCAAAGGGAAAGCAGCAAACCCAGAACGATTGGCACATCTCTGAAAAACCTCAGAGTGAAAGTGGAAGTCTGAGGTGCTTAAACATTGGTGAGAAGAGGGGAAAATCAGGAATGAGTGCAATCGTTTAACTTTAACTTAAGTTAATAACTTAACTTTAGTTACTTTTGGAAGTGTGTTATTTCACTGGAATTAAAGCATCTTTGTAGTGAACTGCATAAACATGAACTCTTCTCCAAACTATAAGTAAAAAAAAAAAAAGTCTCATATAGGAATGTATTTTGTATTAAGATTTGAAGTTATGTCCTACTAAGTCATCTTCAGTGAAACAGAAGGTTAGACATGTAGAGTCTGCAGTGTTTCCACAGCTGTAAGATGAATAATGATCACACTGGAGTGGGTGGGATAGCTGTACCTTTGGAATCTGATACCCCAACATAGTTGTATTCTTCACTGCTTGTCTAGGAATTGTGATTAAAACAATGCTACCATAGCGCATGATCTCATGAATCACAGCATTTGTATAAGGCAGATTCTTCCAATCTTCATAGCAGATTAGATGGGAGGGATCCAGCACAGCATCCAGCTCTTTCTGGACTTTTTCTAGGAAACAAACAAACAAACAAAGTCCATTATAGATAGAAAAACATTGTGTTTTGCATGAAATGGAGACCTCACATTTGCTTTGTGGATTATAGAAGTTATAGAATATGTACAATATACTTATCACAGCTAAAAATAGAGATACAACTAGCTGTTATTTGACTATAATCCATTATTTCCTAGTTTATAGGTTCTATATTCAGATCACCTTTGCACAAGCCCACAACACATTCATTGAGCTTTATAGTAAAAGACAGGACAATGAGATGTAAATAAAACAATAAACCTATCAAGTTAACATTTTTAGTCAGTCAGTCTGAATACAAATTGGAAGCATATTAATCAGTATATTGCAAGAGATCCATTGCATCAAGCTCATACACATTGCATCAAGCTGACATTTGAAACAACATAACATTACTTAACTATCACCAAATGTTAATCTCTTTTGGCTGTTCTGTATGCTTCAATAAGTAGAACAGTTTACACAATCTCAGAAGAGTCAGGGTCAGATCTTATGTCTAAAAAAATAAACTAATAGCTTAAGAAGCTGTGTTTGTTTTTTTTAAAATTTGATTAAAATTTGAAATTTGTGTGTTTGTGCACAGGGCTCTCTTCTAGCATTGTAGCATGAAAAGAAGCATTTAGAGCGTAGCTCTAATCTTGACTGTAGTCTTCACAATTATGGTGCAGAGTCAAAATGAAAACATCATTGTGGATTTGTGAAGTAGAGCTTCTTAACTGGGTATCTTTTTCATACCACTAAAACTATGTGATTAAAGCATATACTTTGCTTTGCAGTTCATCACCTCTGAAAGCCTTGTATCAACTGTTTGAAAATAGTGTGCGACTATGCCCTCTGTCTCAAATTTTCTAAATTATCTCTCTCCCAGCTAACATCTCTTCCTCCTCTATCTAACCATCCTATACTTTAGAATGAATATATTTATTATACAGAATTATAATTGATGCCTCAATCAAAGAGCACAAATCATATATTTTTATTACACATCTTGGATACTAAAAAAATTTCATTAGCTCCATCTCCTATTTCACTTTGAGTGCTTTCAGCCAGATTGCATCTTGCTTTATACACACATTGTACTGAAACACTCTGACAATAATCAAGAAGACGAAACACAGTATCAGAAGTTGAGCATCTCTGAAATTATTTAAGAATTGTTGTCTGGAATTCTAGCTTCTTAAAAACAAAGCTTGAAACTGTACTAACAGATGGTTGTTCTACTTGCAACTTATCCGTGTTTGTATCTGCACCTCACCTTGGATGTCAGGATAAACCACCATAAAGAGCAGGGCCCATCTTAGACTGGTGGCAGTGGTCTCTGACCCTGCCAAAAAGAGGTCAAAAACAGACTGCACCATGTTGTCTTCATCAAATGTAGAATTGGGGACATTTTCATTCTACAGGTGCCAATCAAAAAAAAAATAAAAAATAAGAGCACAGAAGGTACATAGGCATAATATCATCTATTCACTGAGACACACAGTGATCACTAGACTCACGGCACAGATTACTCACTTTCACCATCTGATCCAGATAAAAGTCAATGAAATCTTGTGGCTCATCTATTATGCCTCTTTCTCTGTGGCTTTCTATCTCTTTCCTTATGAAGGAATGGACAAAATCACAGTAAGATGATGCTTTTAGGTGGGGTCCTGGGAGGTACTTCAAAAGCCAGGGAAAAATTTCGCATAGCTGTGGAGCAGGAATTCAACACAGGCACTGTCAGTCACACAGCACGAGTAAAGCCGTTACAGAGCTACAACATGGGTATTTTTCATGCTGAATTGCTATTGCTTAATTTCTCTAAGAATACTATAGTGTCAAAGAGAAATATCATGTTGAGGATAGGATCATGCACTAAAAATTATAAATTAAAGACGATGTGATTTCCACTCTTGAAAGGTATGTTTATGGCATATTCTGCTTGTATTTGCCCTGTCTGTTCTTTCACCAACAAAAGGATCAAGTCTACTTGATACGTCAATTTAACGCGTGCCATCCGGACACATTCAAGCCTTCCCCCTATCCCAAACTCAGACTATTTCCCTTAAAGATTAAATGCTAATATATAGTACTAGCTTGGAATGCATGCACAAAAAAGCAAACTCTGGTACTTTGACACAAAGAACACCACTTGCCACCTTAATAACGAGAGATTCCATTATAAAAAAGTTCATCTTAGGCATGTTACCTTTGCTATGAAATCTTGATAAAGAGTATTAACGTAACATTCAAATGGAGGAAGATTCAAAGTACTCCTCATCCAATTTATATTCATAGTCAAAATTTCTGTTTGCATTTACTACTTAAAAGTAAAGAAATAAAACATAGAATTTGCTCACAACGTAAAGGTAACTATTCCCAAAAGCTACTATATAATTGTATGCTTCAATCAGCTCGCAGAAGGTTTTATCTTCTAGGGAGAATCGATGTCCAAAAACCACAGCACAGATCACATTAGAGACAGCATGAACAATCGGGTAGGAAGGGTCAACAGCTTTTCCTAAAAGCAAAGAGAAACATTCATTCATCAGTAAAATACTTAGGTCATCCCTATTTTGCAAGCAAGGCCACAACGGCATTTCATAATACATGTCTCCTATAAATTGTTTTACCAAAATACCCAAAATGCAACAAGGCAACACTGCATAAACTTTATTCAGAAATGAAGTCCTCAAAGTCTTTAACTCCCAGCCTTGCTTTTCTTTTTCTTCATCTTGATCTTGGTGCTGATAACAAAATACAGGCTGTTGAGATCTAACTGTCCATATACAGGTTCTACTGCAGTCTAAGCAATCCAGTTTATGCTCCAAAGCCATTTTTTTTTCTGGAGCAAGAGTCTTCTGTCACCCTCAGGCTGTACAACATGAGAAAAGAAAAGAATATAATTCACAAGCACTTTGCAAATGACTTACCATTTGTGTCCCTAAAGAATTTAACTAGATAATGAGCTTCTGTTTGTATTCCACGTTCCATTCCTTTATTCCCCATTCCCAGCTTTCGGAGAGTCCCAATTCCAAAACGTCTCTGATTTTTCCAGATGAGCCCATTTGAGAGAAGGATACCTTTAGCCATCAAGAATCAATTTTACGTTATGTTAATAGTCATATAATAGAAAAAATATATATACTAAGAATCTTACTTTCCTCATGCTCTCAAGTGTGAGAAGTGGGGAGCCACATTAGGTACTGCTTTATTTTTACCACTCCTGCAAAAAACCTTCCCAACTTGTGAGATTTTATCACTGTTACCAAAATTGGAAAAAGCTATCCTTTAATGTCAAGATTTGCTATTACAGGGCACTATAGAGCCATCCAGATAGGACAGCAGTGTGACATCAAGATTTAAATGATATATATATTTTTAAAGCACGTGCAACTTTCCATAATCTTCCCACAGATATGAACATCTTACCCTTTCCATTTGCCATTCGCTTTAAGACATAAGACTCTAGTCGTCCAGAAACATCTTCTGAGTGAGTGGTCAGACCGTCCTTCACAGCCTGGAATCCATGCAGTACCACAAAAGGTTTGTGACCCAGCCACACCGTGCTGATGTTGCCATACATTTTTGCCAGCTGCAGATTTTATCAATGCCAAAAAAATATGCATGGAGACAAATCAACCCAGTTGCTTACATAATGAGCTGCTTTGCTCCAGTATGACATTACTCAGGGATTTGGGAATGGAAAAGGGTGTGTGGCTTTGTTTTGTGATGGCAGCATTTACCACAGCAGGGTCCCTGGGATCTACCCTTCCACAGCAGTATGAATGATAACAGAAATAAATAATAAGTGGAGGCTATGTTCACTTTTTCTGTAGAAGCAGATCATAGATCAAAGCAGACACACTTTCCATTTTTAAAGCTTGGTTTGAGTTGTTTCGGTGATATTAACAATGAGGAAAATGTCTCTGACTGTTTACAGATCTGTAGTAGGTGACACATGAAACTTCAACACACCTACCCCTTCTAAGCTCCGTTTTCTAATTCTCCTTTCGTTACCTCATTAAAAAAGTGGAACTTCTTGGAATTGCCTATTTCCAGCATCTATCTCCTCCTAGTACTGCAGATTCCAATATTCAATGACAGGACCTCTTCCCCTCTCATATGAAAATATTGTCATTTCAGGAATCTGAACAGAGATCCCACATCTTGTCTAGTGTTGGACACTGTTCTCAGGCAACCAGCCTGTAAGCATCCAGCAGGGACAAAGACTCCATCTTTACGCAAAGGAGCTGCACACCTCTCTACTCCCAGAGTGATGAACAAGTACCCAGAGAAGTTTGGCATCAAGATCTTAAGGGCTGACTTTCCAACGCCAGTGTTTTCCAGCCACAGCCTGGTACCCCTTAGCATGCAAGTTGCATTTAGCATCTACAGAGAGATTGGGACTTTGAAGACGACATCAACATATTGGATTCTTTTGTGAAGTTCAGAAAACAATGAGCAAAGGTTTTGGCTACATATAGGATACAATTTAATTTGCCCCCGCTGTGGCAGCAAGAGGCACACATTTTTCATATCTTCTGAATTCTAGACACTCCTTGTTTAAGGAGGAGTCTTCTCTCAAAACACTTTTCTCTTTTCTCGCAAAACAAAAATCCTGTCTTAAAAAAAAAAAAAGCCCTCCATTCTCTCACTTTTCTCTCAAAGCAAAAATCTTGTCTTTAAAATCTGTATTTTTAAAGGCAAAATTACCGTCCTCAGTTCTAACTTGCATGCAGTTAGAACTAACAGTTCTAACATTAGCTTTCACATGAATTAGACGTTTTGTAGATTCTACTTAAACTTTTTTAAGCACCTAATTTGACTTCCATGATCCATCTTAACTCCAGGTGAAGTTCTCCCTATTATTATATTATCAACAGCCATCAGTAGGAATATCAATAGCTCCTTAGTTCATATCTGTAAATGCTTACCTTACTCAGACTTTCATGATCAGCTCTAAACTTTATCCACCACAGGCTTCCAATGATGGGAAATGGGGTCGGTCCAGGAGGAAATCGACGACTTTTCCACTGTAGGCTCAGGAACTGCACACCCAGAAGAAACAAAAGCAGGGATAGGAGAATTATACTTATTGTCGGCATTTCAACGCCCCTACAACTACTCTATTGCTGAGAAAACTATTATGGATCTACCAGTAAAACTGACTCTATATTGTTCTACTTAACACTCCCAAAGAGAACCCTGTCACATTTAGTCTTTATGCATTTTTCTCCTTCTTTCTTTGCTATGAGGCTTATTGACTGCTGAACACGCGGAGTGTTCCTCCTGTTCTTGGGTGTCTTTAATACATCACTGTGCTGCAATATGTTAATAGCTGGAGGATCCAGTAGAGGCTCAAAGGCAGGAACCTTATTTAACCTCCTCAAGAAATCAATGAAACACCCATTGGACAATCGGTGTGAAGGAGCACGTCCCTCAAAGCTCTAACTACATGCAAGCCCAAAAGAAGTCACAGATACAAAGCTGCAGCTGTTATTCAGGTACTGGTTACAAAGACAAGGACTGGAGAACTCACCAGGCAGTGCTCTCAGAGGCAGAGATGGAAGGAGGTAGTTGGTAGCCTTCTATTAAGAGTGGCTGGAATTGCAGATTTGGGAATCAGGATCTCTTGAGTTTCCATGGTAAATAATACAGATGCAATGCAACTGCGAATAAAACAGTGAAGAATCAAATATAGCTAATACTATCAAGAAAAACAAAGCATAACAACAGATCCTGTGTGGAAAGAAATACACAGTCACACCAAGTTCATCACATCCCAAGAAACACCTCAGTTTTCTTGACTTGACTGCATAGAATCGAAATCTTCTTCCACCCACCAACAGACTGGCTGCACACTTCATCTTTGCTTTTCTTGGTAGCCTCTGGTCTATACAGTAGAGCTCACCCACAACTGCCTGCAAGCACAGTCCAACCTAAAGAAACCAGCTGAGTGTCCCTGTGGGATTCCTGCACCCCCACACAAACTCTGCAGGGGATGCTTGGGCATAAGAGACTGAGAAGGGTTACCTCAGAGCCAGCATCACTTCAGAAAGATAAGGAACCAGTGATCAGTATGTTCCAAGCACCCTTTTCTTCTTTCCTGCATCCCCCGCAGTCTCCCATTATGACTCATCTAAGACTGGAGTGAGCCCCAGCTTGGTAAGCAAGCTAAAGAAACAACAGAAGTGTTTGTGGGCAAGACTGCAATAATTCACAGAAATGCAAATTCGTTTTGAACTTTCCTCCAGTTCTAACTAGCACAAACTTTTTACATCATGAACCCCCTACCTACCTACAACTGCAAACACAAGTCACACATGTTTTCCCTACGGCGTAGGCACACAAACCTTCCCAGTAGCAAACAGACAAGCAAGATGTAGATGGAGGCAGGAGAAAGGGACAATCTGCTGCTCAAGAGGAAATTATATCCACATGGTGGCTACATACAGGATGACACTGGAGTTATGAGGAGCATGGACTAGGCTTTAGGTAAAAAGGGTGAAATCTTCCAGTTATGGAGTAGCCAAGGGGACTGTTTATTTTCAGATGCTCTCCCAGCTGCTCAACTCTGTCCCATTACTGCTGCTATGCAAAGGCATTTTCCCCAAATATCCCCCGCAAGAGGTTTCAGATGTGGCTCCAGGTGAGACATTCTCACATCCTAGAACATCATGCCGGCTCAGAGAACCTCACTCTTGCTTGACCAAGAAACCCCTTGCATTTTATTTCCTCAGTTTGCAGCCATCTTCTGAACTCAGGGGAGAATTCTGTAACATACCTACAGGCCACTTAAAGAGCACAGCGCAGGGACAGGCAGGTTAAGAAAGCGATTTTAGACTAGATGTTGTTAGATCACAGAAGCTGCCTTTTTAAACACAGATTGCAGCAGCTTGGGCCCTAACACACACTCCAAAGTAGCTGCAGCTGTTTAGAGCAGCATATTCTCAGCATGGCTATCTGGGAGCTGCTCAAATGTGAGGAGGAGCAAGTTCCACATCTTTCTTAGAGAACACTGGAATTCCTCAAGTGTTTTGCATTGTGCTTTCTCATGTGTTCTGCAGTGTTTGCAACAACTCCGAGCGAGAAAGTGCTTTTACGTATTCTCATTTTACAGGTAGGAAATGCTGGCTGGGGAAAGGAAGGATGGCATCACCAGAGAGCCTTCTAGCACACGTGTGGGGATGATGGGCTGAAAGCAGCAGTTTCCCTTGTGTCCCTGGCTCCAGCTGCAGCAAGGGTCCTGACAAGCTGATCACACTGAACACCTCTGCCAAGACAAGGGACTTTGCTTTGGTCTGCCTAAGTTCTGCTAAAGGCAGTAGATTATCTCAAATATACAGAGAACATGGGCCAAGGCTCTCCAGCAGTCTCCAAGTATGGAAGTATGCTTGTTTGCAAGCATAGCCTGACAGTTCTGCTGGCTACTTTTTACATAATGTCTGAAGCAGAATGGTTCCTTCAGCCAACATTTTCAAATTCCCTATTGGAACTAGGCCTCTTGACTACTACAAGGCTTTACACATTACAGTTTCGGTCTTTTCTCAGTAGCAGGATTCCCATTTAGCCAGAATTAATGCCAGAGTCTGAAATTCTTTGCTTTATTTTTAATCCTCAGCATTTGAAGGAGCACATATGAAGACCCTACACCCACAAGAAACTACATACAGGAACAGTTTTCAGAAGATTTCCTAAGTGCGATTACTGGAACAGGCAGTTCTGAGGTCAGCACCAAACTGCCTAGCGAAGAAAAGCACAGACCTTGTAGGGATGGAGCTGCATTCTGCTCCCCAAAATATATTGTGTGTTAGCTTCTTTCACTCCATCAGGCAGGGTGAACCTGAATGCCTGCAACAGGCTGCAGAAGACGATGAAGAGCTCCATTCTTGCCAACTGCTCACCCAAACATATACGGAGCCCTGCAGAAAGCAGATGAAGAGAGTAATCATTGATCTGAAATCTGCTCTCATCTACTGTCTACTGTGAACTTCCTAGGAGGATTGCTTTGCATCAAGAGCAAAGATATCCCTGCCAGCAGTCATTCCCTCCCAGGATTCACCATTCACATTATCTCAAACCATCCCTGCAACTCTGCTTGCATAATCCATACCTGTTACGTAGCTGGCAGAAAGAAAATATTACATGTTTTGAAACATGCTTTCGCATTTTGTTCCATTGCCCATGTCCTTCAGGAGCATTTAAGTGATTATGTGTATACCTGTTGAGAAGGGTAAGAAGGCTTCTCTGCAGAAAAAATTTCCTTCTTCATCCAGAAAGTGACCAGGGTCAAATTCAAAAGGTTTCTCCCAGTACTCAGGATCAGTCAGAACAGAGTATATGTTTGCAATAACCATGCTACCCTGCAAGAAAGGAGAGTTTGTACTAGGCTGTATCTTAGCCTCTCTCTCTCTTTCCAAGCAAAGTCATGCACAGAAAGAGCCAGACAAAATCTGGGTGTAATTTATTGTGCCAAGTAAGCTATACACCATTGCTGCTTTTGTTTGAATTATTTCTGTGCACAAACACAGGCTTTCAATCTCAGTGATTTACTCCTCATGTCCCTGCTATAAGGACAGTGACCACGGAGAACTGATCTGCTTCACTGCCTGCCACAGCAGAGCATTCTGGCTTCAGGGAACCACCTACACTCATCTTTCCTCATGTGCTTGATTTTAAGCTTGAAATCCCAACAATCCTGGTAGTTCAGTATTTCCAATCCTGGAATTTCAGTAGGCATTACTCTCCTGAACGCATATTCCTTCATGTAGCAGGAGATGACAGGGAAATTAAAGAAATAAAAAAAGTTGCTACATGGAGCCTGGAGTTCATGTTGCTGCCTAACAGGCTATACCTCTTCAGTGGAAGAAACAGCTATCGGCATGGGGAGAGAAGATGGGGGACACGTATGATGGCAAATGACAAAAGAGTGTCACACAGGAACCCTTGTACCTTCGGAACTCGATAGCCCAGTAGTGTTGTGTCCCTCACTGCTTCTCTGGGCAATCCGATTAAAATGATGCTACGAA